GAGGGCGATGGAGGGGGAGGAGGAGGGAAGGGGGGAAAAAAGAGCATGAGCACCCAGGCCTAGATTGAGAGTAGAAGGGCCGACCCCGAAATGCCGGGGGGAAACATGGGTAGAAGACGTGGTTGAGGAGGTGGAGGGCCAGCACAGGGAGCAGGGAAACGAGGGGAAGCTTTCGAGAAGGTGGCGGCCATCAAGGGGCTCGTCGTGATCAGGGACGGGCGCGAGAGAGGTGAGGGAGATGGCGCGCATGGAGCAGTATGGATGGAGGTTAACGTGAGAAGTAGGAGCTTTGAGGCCATGAGACGCGCTTTTAGGGCACGTCGCAGGGGTCCCAAGGCGTTCGGCACGGGGCGAGAAGAAGGAAAAGGGGAGGGGAGGCATGTGACGCCCCCCCCCTGTCTGGGAAAAGGAAGGAGTAGATAGAACCAGGGAGGTTGAGGAGTGAGGTATTTTTTTCAGTGAGTTAATGTCGCGGTTGAAGATTCGGACACGGAAAAAAAAAAAGAGCAGTGACACGGGTGTCCACAAGGGAGTGGAAGCCACTGAAAGGCCGGCGTCGAGGTCGACAATCTCTAGGGAGACCCGCGAGCAGACCCCGTGTGGAGAAAGGGTCAGGATGGCACAGGAGGGGTGAGGGTAGAGCGTGCATGCTTAGCAGCGAGCGACCGAGGCTCGGATGTAGGGGGAGGGGGTTGACGCGGAGACCCCTGTGCAGCGCCTTTTCCCTCTTGGAGGAAACAGCGATGTGAGAGAGCGAGGGGAGGATACACGCACGGTGGTAGCGGAAATGGACGGAAAGAAAGCGTGCTGGCCGGCATAGGCCATGCAAGACATAAAACCCCACGTCTTGTGTGGTCAGGCTGATACTCTCGTTTTAATTTTGCATCTTTCTGGGAGGATGCGGCTTTGTCGCCGCCCGCTCCCCTCGCTGTGGAAAGATTCACATCCCTAAGACCCTATTACTACAAGAGGAGATGAGAGCCATCTCCGGACCATTCTCGACGGCTTTGCTTTTATGGACATGAGCATATGTACAGGCTTTCGACGCACTTCTCTCGCGTGCCCACTTACTTCTCCAGAACATGGGCACTATCCCTGCCCTCCCCCTCCCCCTCTCCCGTCTTGTCTCGGGAGAGGTGCAAAAGTGTCAGACGCGCTTTGTGCGTACATGTAGGGGTGCGGATAGTCGACGCCGTTGTGTGCGGGCGCGAAGGAGGGGGGAAAGAGCGATGGAGGGGGCGCTGCCAGGGGCGGGTAGGAAGGACTGGATCCATTCCCGGTCATTTGGTGGGCGTCATAGGGGTAAGGAGACGGCTGCTGTGTCTGGAGCTGATAGTGTTGCTGAGGATGGGGGTGGGTGACTTGACATTGCTGCTCTTGCTGCTGGGCGTAGTAATGGGCGAGGTATTGCTGGTGGTGGGCCCATTGTTGCCGGTACAGCTCCTGCTGATGCTGGAAGTCACGCTGCTGTTGCGATTGCTGCTGTTGTTGCTGCTGCTGTTGTTGCTGCTGCTGCAGTTGCTGCTGCTGCAGTTGCTGCTGTTGCAGTTCCCGTTGCTGTTGTAAGTACAGCTGCTGTCGAAGCTCAAGCGCGTGATGCGGATGCGAGGCCTGCCCCGAGGACAAAAGCCGGTGGCTTGAGCTGGCGCCGAGCTGGGGATGAGTGGAGGGGTTTGGGGCATAGTAGCCCGGGGCTGGGTACTGACAGGGCCCTGTGGGAGCAGACATGGAGGACGGCGGTGCGCCCGGAAATTGAGCCACCCCGAGGACCCCCTCCTTGGCCGTCCCAGCCGACCCTCCCGCTCTCACTCCGGCACCGCCGGCGCAACCCCTCCCTTTCCCTCCTCGCCCACCGCCACCGCCTGGCCTGGACACCGCTGCTCCCCCCATCACTGCTGGTGTTGGAGC